GCTACAGGGAGACCCTGTCTCAAAAAGAAAAAGAAAAAAAAAGAACTTTAGAAACACTTAAAGCAGGGCTGAAGAGATGTGTTTACAGAGGACCTGAGTTCAGTTCCCAGCAACTATGTCGGACAGCTCACGAGGGCCCACAACTCCAGCTCCAGGGAATTTGATGCTCTTTTCTGGCCCCCCTTGGCACCTGCACATACATGTGCACACACACACATACAAATAATTAAAAATAAAATAAGTATTTTTAAAAATAGTTAAAGCAGGAGAGCAGTGTGATCTTAAAATATCAAGACAGATGCTGCCATTCTTGTTAATATTTGTATTTATTTATTTTATTTTATGTGTATGAATGTTTTGCCTGCATATTTGTAAGTGCACCACATGCAGGTAATACCCATGAAGGCCAAAAGAGGGTGTTGAATCCCCTGGAACTGGAGTTACAGACAGCTGTTAGCTGTCATGTGGGTGCTGTGAACCGAACATCGGGTCCTCTGTGAGCAAGCCAGTGCTCTTAATCACTGAGTCATCTCTCCAGCCCCTACTGTTAATATCTGGGTGATGAGTTCTTGTTATAAATGCAACCTTAGGTGGTTGGAAGGGGTAGTCTGTGAGAAAGTGAATTGTCAAAGGAAAGTGAATTGTACTGCCTTGATATGGGCTGTCATTAGGTCCCATAACTGCGGCTTGCTAATGAAACATAGCTTTCCCAGCTGGACCTGTGGAACATTGTGCTGGAAAGTCACCAGCCACATCACAACTCAATTCCTATTAATCTGTTTCAGTGCCACAGTCTGTGCTTTTTGTCTGGTTTCTTGCTTTCTCCATGCATGTTCAAACGTGTGGCCAAAACTCTTGACTGTCTGGGCATGGGGATAGGGCTGCCTTTTATCTCACATCAGCTCTGCCAGACCTAGGTGCTTCATACTGAGGCTGATCTCTAGAGAACCTTGTATGTGGGAGGCTAAAATATACTTATTTTTCATAAAAATATGCAGTGCTCTTTAAAAAAGATCTCCACTTCATTTTAAAATACACTGTTTCCTACCAAAAAAAATTCAGTGCTAGGGATCAAATAGAACCTCACACATGCTAGACCAGTGATCTGCTATTGAGCTGCAAGTGTTATTTACATAAACACATAACTTTATTATTGTCTCTGAATAAATGAGTACACATATATGTGTGTGTTTGTATATATAATTTTGGGGTTTTTGTTGAGACAGGTTGGTTTGGGATTCATTATGATCCAAGGATGATTTTGAATTTCTAATCCTCCTGCTGGATGTAAGGAATTACAGGCTTGCACCACTATGCCTAGCATCAGTATGTTTTTTGGGTTTTTTGTTTTGTTTTGTTTTTGTTTTTTGGTCTCCCCATAGCCCCAGCTGTCCCTGGAACTCACTATGTAGACCAGGCTGGCCTTGAACTCACAGAGATCCGCCTGCCTCTGCCTCCCAAGTGCTGGGATTAAAGGTGTGTGCCACCACGTCTGGCCAGTATGTAATTTTTTAAATTTTATTTTAAAATCTTCTCAATTTAAAAATCTTCACAGTTGGGGCTGGACAGATGGCTCGGTAGTTAAGAACACTTGGTGCTCTTACCGAGGACCTGAATTCAATTCCTGACACCTGTGTCTGGCAACTCACAATTGTCTGTAACTCCAGTCCAGGGGATCTGACACCCTCTTCCTGACTTGGGCACCTGCACACATGCGGCACAGACAGCCATACAACACATATGCATAAATAAAAATAAAAAATCTTAAGCTCTTGCTCCCAGCTTCCTGCAGCCGGCCACGTCCGGCCGGCACTCTGCTCGGCTGACCTCGGTCATGGCATGGCCCTGAAATGACAATCAGCACCCCCACCTCAGCCCAAGAAGCCCCGACCTAGGGCTGCCCCAAAGCTGGCTGACTCGTCGGCCTCCCCGGGCTTGCAGAAGGGAGGAAAAAACAAGAAGCAATTGAACATATTGATGAAGTACAAAATGAAATAGACTTGATGAACAAGCCAGTGAAGAAATTTTGAAAGTAGAACAGAAATATAACAAACTCTGCCAACCATTTTTTCAGAAGAGCTCAGAATTGAACACCAAAATCCCAAATTGTGGGGTAACAACATTTGTCAACCATCCACAAGTGTCTGCGCTGCTTGGGGAGGAGGATGAAGAGGTGCTGCATTACTTGACCAGAGTTGAAGTGACAGAATTTGAAGATATAAAATCAGGTTACGGAACAGATTTTAAAAATTTTATTTATTATTTTTATTTTATATGTATAAGTGTATTGCCTGCGTGTATGTGAGTGCACCCGTGTCGTGCAATGCAGCGGCGGTCAGAAAGGGCTCCATATTCCCCTGGAACTGGAGTTAAGGATGGTTTGTAGCCACCATGTGGGTGCTGGGAATTGAACCCGGGTCCTCTGTAAGAGCAGTCAGCGCTTTTAACCACGGAGCCATCTCTCCAGCCCCCAGAATAGATTTTTTTTAATTTTTATTATTTTTATTTTTTATGTGCATGCATTTCCTGCATGTACCTGTGTTGTGCAATGCCCATGGAGGACAGAAGTGGCTGTTGGATCCCCTGGAACTGGAGCTATGGACAGTGTTAGCTGCCATGTGGGTGCTGGGATTCGAACCTGGGTCTTCTGCAAGAACAACCAGTATTCTTAACCACTGAGCCATCTCTCCAGTCCCAGAATAGATTTTTATTTTAATGAAAATCCTTACTTTGAAAATAAAGTTCTCTCCAAAGAATTTCATCTGGATGAGAGTGGTGATCCATCTTCAAAGTGCACTAAAATCAAATGGAAATCTGGAAAGGCTTTGATGAAACCCTCAAAATAAAGCCAGCAGGAAGAGGCAGCATGAAGAACCAGAGAGCTGCTTCACCTGGTTCACTGAGCATTCTGATGTAGGCGCAGATGAATTAGGAGAGGTCATCAAAGACATCTGGCCAAATCCCTTGCAGTACTACTTGGTTCCTGATATGGATGATGAAGGAGAAGGGGAAGATGATGATGATGATGATGAAGGGTTGGAAGACACTGATGAAGGATGAGGATGAGGGTGAAGATGAAGAAGGATGAGGATGAAGGTGAAGATGATGAAGATGATGATGGAGAGGAAGGAGAGGATGAAGGAGATGACTGAAAGAAAAGAACACTGATGGATTCCAACCTTCCTTTTTTTTTTTTCCTTTTTCTTTTTTAATTTCCTCCAGTCCCTGGGAGCACGTTGTAGTCTTCCCCCTCCCCCTGCCCCTCTTGTGCTCAGTCACCCTGTTTTTGAAGTCTCTTTTCTCAACATGATGGTTCTCAACATATTTGGGGGAAATAACCTTGAGCAGAGTTGAACAGGAAAAGAAGCTCCACTCTTCTGTTCTAAATTCATTTTGGTCCCTTGTCTCAAACTGTGGACTCGCCACCACCACCACCACCACCACCACCACCACCGTGCTCTGTGGGAAAAAAGAAAAACTTCCTGCTCCCTTGACTCTGCAGGAAGCTGAGGGTGCTGGGCCCCTGTGTAGTAGTGCATAGAATTCTAGCTTTTTTCCTCTTTTCTGTGTATATCGGGCTCAGAGATTACACTGTGTCTCTATGTGAATATGGACAGTTAGCATTTACCACCGTGTACCTGTCTACTCTTGTTTAATAAAAAGAAAAAAGTAAAAAAAAAAACCAAAAAACCAACCAAACCAAAAAAAACTTCAAAAAAATCTCTGTGTGTTCAAGGCCAGCCTGGTCTACATAGCAAGTTCCAGGTCAGTCAGTGCTACATAGTGAGACCCTGTCTCAAGAAAAACCTTCAAAGGTTTGTAACTCAGGAGCAGAGTGGTTGATTAGCATACTCCAGGTCTTGCGTTTGATCCCCAACATCACATACACACATAAAAATAAAGAAGCCAGGAGCACAGCCTATCATCCCAGTACTTGGAAGGTAGAAGCAGGAAGGTACATAGTTCAAGAAAATCTTTGAGTTTGACACCTGCCTGAACGACATTAGACAGGAAACAAAATAAAATAACAAAAATAAAAATTAGTTTCCTCTACTGCCAACAGTGTAGTGTCCGGATGTGAAAATGTTGGAAGAACCATTCACTGCAGGGAGATGCTTTTTCTTATTCTGCTGGCTAACCCCAGTGGAGAAAATTAGGTATTACAGCTGTGATTAAGAATCTTCTCTGACTTGGTCTGCTGGGCTCACTGCCTTTGCTCCTCGTCCCCTCTTTAGCTGGGCTATTCTATTCTCTCGCTGTTTTCAAACCTAGGGGTTTTGCAGGTACCGGCGGAAAAAAAATGAAAGGATTGTCGCACTCGCCTTAAGAAGAGGCTACTCTTGCACTTGCATCCTTAACTTGGCTTTCAACTTCTGCGGGGGTGGGGGTGGGGGTGGGGGTAGTCTGTCCTTTTGCGCCACTCGATTCCTTTATGCCAGGAAGACTATAGGGTTCTAATTGGCTTGGGTAAGGATACAAGGAAGTTAAGCAGTTTTGAATCTTAGCTCTGTCATCCCAACATTCCGGACGTTAAGGCAGGAAGAGCGCTACGAGGTCGAGGCTAGCCCTTTCTCAAAAAGAGATATCGGGGTTTGAGGATGTGATTGGCATCTCACCGCTTTTCAGTGCAAGGTTACCCACGCCTCTCGGAGCCTGAGCTGCTCAGCCCTAAGGCCTCCCCTGCCCAGTCCGGACTGGGCCCAGGGCCCTGGCTCCGCCCAGCTGATCGTCCCGCCCCAGGCCCCTCGTTCGACGCTCACGTCACCCCGCCCCAAAGCCCGGCTCGCCACCCTACCTCCCTGCCAGCTCCGCCTCCCCCCAGGACCCCTCCTTCGCCCCGCCCCTTTCTCTGCTCCATCCCTCGCCCCGCCCCGAGGCCGCTCCTTCCTCCCTCAGCCCCGCCCCTCCCAAGGCCCCGCCTCTGCTCCGCCCCCTTATTGGCCGTGCCCTCGCTCCGCCCTGCGGGGCCCCTCGCTCCACCCCCGACAGCAAGCTCCAACCTAGAGCGGCGGTTCCGGGCTGTTCACGACGGTGCCGGCGCTTTCTGGCCAGCCGCGCAGGTGCTGATGTGTCGAGGAGGCGGAGCCTAAGGCGACGAATCCTCCGGGTTCCAGATACCCAGAGTCAGCTGCAGTAGCCCACCAACCCTTGCGAAGTCATGCCTGTGCAAGGCGGCTCTGCTGGTGTCGCTGCCGGCCCAGGTAGCCTAAGGGCTGGCCTAGAGAAGAAGCTGGCCCCAGTGCGCGGGCGTCCGCTGGGAAGGGGCATGTTGAGAGAGATTGCAGCCTGTGTTGTGGAGTAGTTGGGGGGATATCCTGGAGGGCCTGCTCCCAGAAGCTGGCGGTAGTCGTGTCCAGGGGACTTGGGCGGAAACCCTAGGTTGTGGGGCTGCGGTTTCTTTGATTTGGGGAGGAGCCTATTTCATTCCTACGCACACATGGTCCCCGCTTCTTGGTTGTAGATAAAGTACGGAAAGACAACTCTGGACAGACCTCAGGACCCAGGCAGGGCAGCCGAATGGGGAAACTTTTGGGGTTTGAATGGGCAGATTTATCCAGCTGGCAGAATCTGGTGACTCTGCTTAATCGTCCAACGGATCCTGCAAATCTGGCTGTCTTTCGTTTTCTCTTTGGTGAGTACGCTTTCTGGGTCGAGGGGATTTTGGTTGGGGGTGAGAAAATGACAATCGGCTATTTCTTAATAGCTTCATAGACTTTTGCTCCCTTTTCCTTAGAAGCTCTAAGCTCAGCAGAAGTATTGATACAGTGAAAGAGTTCTTTGAAAGTTTAGATTCATGCCTGGCCTTGTTACCTTCTATTAGGATTTAGTGTCCAGAAGTGCTTTGATCAGAGGCTGTATCCATACATGGAGCAGAGGACAGGAGACCTTTGTGTGTGTGTGTACTCACATGCTGTGCTCACATAAATTCATGTGTGGGGGGTGCACATATGTGTCCAGGCATGTGGGAGCCAGAGGTTTATAATAATTGGGTGTCTTCTTGTCAGTCATTTTCTGCTTTTTGTTGTTGTTTTGAGATAGGGTCTCCCTGTAGCCCTTAGCTGGCCTGGAACTTGACCAGGCTGGCCTGTCTCACAGAGATCTGCCTGTCTTTGCCTCCCGAGTGTTAGATTAAAGGCGTGCACCACCATGCCTTGCCCCTCAACTTCCTTTGTTGAGGCTGGCTCTTTCCTGAACCTGGAGCTCACCAGTTGGGTTAGACTGCCTAGACTGCCAGCAAACCCCAGGGATCCTCTTGTCTTCACTTCCCCAACACTGAGAAGCCTAGCTGTTGTGCCTGGCTTTTTTACATAAGTGCTGGGGATCCAAATTTAGGTCCTTATATTTGGGGCAAGCACTTTGCTGACTGAGCCATTTCCTCAGCTCTTTTTGGCTTTTGAAATGGTCTCACTAGGTAGACCAGGCTGGCCTAGCCTTCAGCTTGGGCCATCTTCTTGCTTCGTGAATTCTGGGATTACAGACGCTATCATATCTGACAAGGAACCCATTTTGCATGTGGCACAAAATTGCTCGGCAGCTATGCTAAGCACTTTGGAGAAAGAGCAAGAGTAACATTTTGACTATGGCTTTCTGATCCAGAGCTTCCTAACTTAAATGCCACAGTTTGTGTTTGGACCAGGTTACAGATGTGTCAAGATATTACTTCTTTTAGCTCAGCAGTTTTCAGCTGGGACAATTTTGCTCCCAGGAAACATTTTTAGTTGTCATATCTTGGGGGGCGGGGGGAGGAGGAATAGGTGGCTGATGGCATCAGAATGGTCTAGGCGCCCTGTAATGAGCAGGGTAAACATCCCTACAGATAATTAACCAGAGTGGCTAATGCAACTGGTCCTGAGATTGAGAAACCCTGCCTTAACCCAAGCTGGCTTCTGGATCTGAATAGCCCATTCTGTTTAAGTGTGTTGACAAAATACCACTGGTTTCCTGGGTGTGTGTCAGGAGTCAAAAAGGTTAAAAGGTCTACCTAGAGCACTTTTTATATGTATTTTTATAACTGTGATTATGTGAGCCCTAACAGTTTCTATAGTGTTTTGCACATTTATTTAATCCTCTCTATAACCCTGTGAAATTTCTAAAAATATTTATTTGTATATCTGTGTGAGTATATATGCACCTAGGTATATAGGGGTGTGTGCATGCCTTTGAATGCCCACAAAGACCAGAAGAGGGTGTCCAATGTTCACCATCAGCCACCTATTCCTCTATAATAATCTGCCTATTCCTTTGAGTCAGGATTTCTCCCTGAGCCTGGGGCTTGCATTTTCTCTGCAGGTTGGAAGCCAGTAAACCCCAGTAACCCTCCTGTCCCTGCCTCCCTCAGAGCTGTGGTAATATGTGTGCCAGAAGAGAACAATGGACCCCCTGGAACTGGAGTTATCTACAGTTGTGAGCTGCCACGTGGGTGTTGGGAACCAAACCCAGGTCCTCTATAAGAGCAGCCAGTGCTCTTAACCCACTGACCGTCTCTCCAGCCCTTATTTTGATTTTCTGAAACAGGGTTTTTCTGTGTATTCCAGATTGGACTTGAACTCATAATGTAGCTCAGGCTGGCCTCCAACTCAAAGTTTGGAGCTGGGCATGCTTGAAGCTGTGTCCTGTTTCCTTAGTGAAGGCCTGAGAGTCATTTCGTCTCCCCCTGTTGCCTTCACAGCATTCTTGATGCTACTGGACATTCCCCAGGAACGGGGCCTTAGCTCCTTGGACCGAAAATACTTGGATGGGCTAGATGTGTGCCGTTTCCCCTTGCTGGATGGCTTGCGCCCATTGCCGCTTGACTGGATGTATCTTGTCTACACCATCATGTTTCTGGGTGAGGGGAACTGGGAGAATGTGGACTGGCCTGCCAGAAATTCACCAAAAGCATGCTGGTGAACAACTAAGGCCTTGGGTTCCTATGTCACTTCTGCTGTAATTCAGCTTCATGTTGTTACCTGTGTCATGTGAGCTGTGACCCCATAACTCTTCTTTTTAAAATATTAAGATAGCCGGGTGTGGTAGCACATGCCTTTAATCCCAGCACTTGGGAGGCAGAGGCGGGTGGATCTCTGTAAGTTTGAGGCCAGCCTGGTCTACATAGTGAGTTCCAGGCCAGCTGGGGCTACAGGGAGACCCTGTCTCAAAAAGACCAAAAACAACAACAACAAAAAGAATAAAATATTAAGATAATATTTAATTTTCATTTATTTCTACATGCTTATAAAATGCCTGATGACTTTTCTGAATCTCAGTCACAGCCTGTCCCAGGGAAGCTGGGTCTGTAGTGACTCTTTGACCTTTAATCCTCTCCTCAAAATCCCAGGGGCACTGGGTATGATGCTGGGCCTGTGCTACCGGATAAGCTGTGTGTTATTCCTGCTACCATACTGGTATGTGTTTCTCCTGGACAAGACATCGTGGAACAACCACTCCTATCTGTATGGTTTACTGGCCTTTCAGCTGACATTCATGGATGCAAACCACTATTGGTATGTGTCTCAGGAATTACAGGGGAAGGTGTATCTGGGTCAGGAAGCTTACCAGAGATAGGGGTCTGATGAAGTCCTAGAAATTGTCCCCGTAGACTTTTTTTTTAATGGGGGGAGGGATTGAGGTAGGTATTGCTCTATCTCCTGCTGGGCTTGAAGTCACTGTGTAATTCAGGCTAGCCTCAAACTTGTTATTCATCTCCTTTAGCCTCCTGAGTACCAAAATTACACGTTTGAGCTACCATGTCTGGCTCAGTAGGCATATTTGTAACTAAGTTTTTCAAATTATAGTTATGAGGTCATACTTTGACCTTAGACTTGGAGGAGTTGGTTCTCTCCTACCATATGGCTTTCAGGAATTGAGCTCAGGTCCTTGGGCTTGATGACGAGCACCATACCTGCTTAGCCATCTCACTGGCCCAACTTGGATGGAATTGGGAAGGGGAAGGACCAGCAAGTGGGGTGATTGTTGTGACAAAAAGCACAATGATTCCATCCAACCCCTTCGCTTTTTCCATATCTCTCCAGGTGCCTTGATCTATCCACTTCCTGTAACCCTCTTAGAAGAAGAGAAGACTAAAGGCAGACATAGCTGTTTTCAGATACTCCAGTGGTGCAAATTTGACTTTCTGTGTGTGAACCAGAGAGGCAGAGTTATAGCTTGAAGCAGAAGTTGCTGTGAGGCAGAGATGATATTAGATATTACCAGGATTACTCAACAGTGCTGTCCTAGGAGAAAGTAACGCGCCCTAGCTCTGGCCTAGGTGACCCTCTCTCAGGGGAGGTGGAGAAAGGATTTGGAGTCAGGGTGGCAAGGCAGACCTTAAGGAGATTCTTCCTATCATTAAGTGAGAAACAGATGTAGGACATCAGTAAGATAGATTAAGTTTCACCATTGATGCACATAGCATATTCTTTTGTAAAAACGTGTGTTATGTGTGAATGTGTACATACATGTGCTTAGGATTACTCAGAGCCTCCTGCATGCTAATCACCAGGATATATCCCTAACCCCTAGTACCCACTTTTGTCAGACTTCAAGCCTATTCAGGATGTTTAGCTTTGATGAGTATTGTGGCTCATATCTATAATCCCAGCATTTGGGAAGCTGAGGCAGGAGGATTGCTTTAAATGTGAAGCCAGCTTGGACTACATAGTGAGACTTTGTCTCAAAACAAGCAAAAATGAGGCCCTAGTGCCGTCCTCATTTTGTAGATGAAGAAAGTAAGACTTAGAGAAGTATAGTATTTGCCTAAGTTTACATAGCAGGTAAAAAACAAATGAGACTCCAGGTGTACTTGACTGCAGTCCAGTGCTCTTGACCACAGTGTAAGCCACCTTTTCCCAAACTTCTTGAAAACCTGCTTGGTTTCTGCCTCCCCAAGACTGGGGAGTAGTAGCCTGGATTTCTCAGTTCTCTCCCAGGATAAGAGTTAAAAGCAGGACGCCAGGTGTGGTGGCACGTGCCTTTAATCCCAGCCCTCGGGAGGCAGAGGCAGGTGGATCTCTGCAAGATCGAGGCCAAAGTGGTTCACATCATGATTTCCAGGTGGGCTGTGATTAGGGAGCCCCTGCCAAAAAACAATCAACAACAACAACAAAAGATTTAAAAGCAGGGGCCCTCTAGCACTGGATCCGGTCAGCCTGTTCTATAAATGTTAATTAAATTGTGTATTATTTTGCTATGGTACTTTGAGTTTATTTTTCATCCCCCCCCCCCCCCCCCGTCAATTGGGGAATCAGACCCAGGGCCTTGCACACAGTAGGCAAATGCTCAGTCCCTGAACTACATTCCCATTGCTAAATATGCTGGTACACACCTTTAATACCAGCACTGGGGAGGCAGAAGAGGATTATAGCCTGAATTACAGAGTAAGTTCCAGGCCAGCCTGGGCTACAGAATAAGACTCTGTCTCAAAAAAAACCACAACAAAAAAGATACTGCACTGTGTATGTATGTGTATATACCTTTATATTTATTTTGAGACAGGGCCTCACTGACTGGCTGACCCAGAATTCGCTATGTGACCAGGTTGACTTGAACTCACAGAGATCCCTCTGCCTCTGCCAAGTGCTGGGATTAGAGGTGTGTCCCATCATGCCTGCCCTAAATTTTTAAAATTTTATTTATTATTGTATGGGGTGAGGGGGACACCTGATATGAGGAAGGGGGCATGTGTGTCATGGCACATGTGGAGGTCAGAGGACATCCCACTTTACCTGGGTTCCAAGAGTCGAACTCTGGCTATGAGGCTTACCCAGGAGGTACCTTTTACTGACTGAGCCATCTCACCAACTCACACCTTTAGATTTGCAAATACTCTCTCAAATTCATTCCTCTGTCATTTCTATTATATCTTTATAGCTTTTGTTTTTATCCTGATCAGATTCATTAGGACAAACTCAAGTGTGAGGTACAGAAAACATTGAACTGTGTGTGTGTATGTGTGTGTTTGTGTGTGTATGTGTTATCTGTATAACAGGCTTGCTTCAAACTTGGTGGTAATTCTTGCCTCTGTCTCCTAGATACTGAGATTATAGGCATGTACTGGCATGCCCAGTTACACTGAATTTTTTGTTATTGTAATTTACTATATAGACACTCTCTGACTTACAGTTGAAATTAATGGATTTTTTGTTTGTTTGTTTTTGTTGAGACAGAGTCTCATATATCCCTGACTGGCCTTGAACTCACAGAGATCCACCTGGATTAAAGGCAGATGCTACCATGCTCAGTTAACTTAGTGGGGTTTTTTCGGGGGGGGGCGTGTCTTTTTGAGACAGGGTCTCCCTGCAGCCCCAGCTGTCCTGGAACTCACTGTGTAGACACGCCCAGCCTTAGTGTTTTTTGACATCATGATTATGTGTGAGCATACTGGTATAACTGTTTTGTTACTCGCTCTTGGTAGAGTATCCAATAAAATATTCAACCCTTGGGGCTGGAGAGATGGCTCAGCAGCAGTTAAGAGCACTGACTGCTTTGCAGAAAACCTGGGTTTGATTCTCAGTGCCCATATGGCAGCTAACAACTGTCCCTAACTCCAGTTCCAAGGAATCAGTCACCCTCTTCTGACCTCTGTGGGCATTACACAACACAGGTGCATTGATACACATGCAGGGAATACACTCCTACACATATAAATATTTTTAAAAATATTCAACCCTTTATTATAAAATAGGCTTTTGTGTTGGGTGATTTTGCCCAACTGTAGGCTATTGTAAGTGTTCTGAGCACATTTAATACAGGGTAGGACATGTTATATGCAGTTGGATATGTGTATTAAATTTTCAGGGCTGGAGAGATGACTCAATGGTTAAGAGCACTGGTTGCTCTTGCAGAGAACTGGGTTCAATTCCCAGCACCCACATGGCAGCTAACAACCGCCTATAACTTTAGTTCCAGAGGACTCTGATGCCCTCTTCTGACCTCTGAGGGCATTGCATGACACGGGTACACTAACATACGTGCAGGCATTACATTTATATACATTAAAAAAAATACATTTTCAGCCTAAAGTTATTTTCAGTGTATGATAGTTTATTGTGGGGTAATTTCATAAGCCACAGAACATCTGCAGCAATACTCTTTTATGATCTTAATAGTAATTACCATTACAATGTACTCATATTGCCAAGCATGGTAGTACACTCCTGTAATCCCAGCACTTGTGTGGTAGAGGCAGGAATGTCAGGAACTCAAGGCCAGCCTCAGCTACCCAGTGAGTTTGAGGCCAACCTGTGATATGAGACCCTTTCTCAACATTACCTCCTCCCAAAATTTATTCATATGTTTCAAAAGGATCTTAGCCCAGAGGATCAGGGAAGGCAGGAGAACTGTTTCTGAGATAGATAGTAGCGTCATAATGTAAGGATGGGGATGTGGCTGGACTAAGAGGCCCTTCCTTCATGTTTACTTCCTTTCATGTAGGTCTGTGGATGGCCTGCTGAATGCCCAAAAGAGGAATGCCCATGTGCCCCTTTGGAACTATACAGTACTGCGTGGCCAGGTATAGGATTTTGTGTGTATACGTGTGTGTGCATGTGCCATGGTGTACACGTAGAGGTCAGAGGACAACCTTAAATGCCAGTCTTTACCTTATACCTTGTTGAATAGCTCACAACTGCATATATCAGGCCAGTTGGCCCACAACTTCTGGGTATTTTCCTGTCTTTGCCTCCTGTCTCACTGGGATTATAGGCATGCCACACCACACCATGCCTGACTTTACATTAATTCTGGGGATTAGAGCTCAGGTCTTCATGCATTTGCAGCATTTTACCACTCTGAGCCATCTCCCCAGCCCAGGTATAGGATTTTAAGACAGAGAGATACTCTTTGTGATCTGTTTGTGGCCTTCTCCTCTACCTCCCCGGATTATTATTGTTGTTGTTATTTTCTTGTGTGAGTTTGAGTATGGGTGTGTGCCACCGTGCGTATGTGGAGATCAGAGGACAAGTTTCAGGAGTTGGTTCTCTCCTGCTTTGCTGAGGAAGGGTCTCCTTGTTGTTTCTGCCCTGCTGCATACTCCAGACTAGATGGCCCATAGGCTTCTGGGTAATTCTCCTGGGCGAGCTCCTGTTTTTGCATCTGTTTCACACTGTAGGCATGATTACAGATGCACACTACCACATCTGGCTTTTCCTATGGGTTCTGGGGATTGAACTCAGGTTGTCAGGCTTGAGCTTTTATCTACTGAACCTCTTGCCAGCCCTGGATTATTCCTTTAGCTGGAAACCTAGATGGGCCTTTGCATTTTCTCCAGTTCCCTAAACTCACCCAATCATGGAAGGAGTGAATAGTGCCTTGTCTATGCTGGATTAGAAACCTGAGAGAATCATGTCTATGCTTCTTGACTTCCCTCTTCCTGCCTAATCTGCCTGGCCTAGGTAGAATGCTAAAAAAAAACCCCAAACACTTGTTGCATGTGTAACTGAAATGAGTAGTTAGAGGATCTGTTCTTTCTTGGACCTTGGGTGGGCTGAGACCAGAACTTCATTCGTGATCATCTACAGAAAACAAGGTTTGCTTGACATTCAGGCTGCATTTTGTATTTACAGATCTTCATTGTGTATTTCATTGCGGGTGTGAAAAAGCTGGATGCAGACTGGGTCGAAGGCTACTCCATGGAACACTTGTCCCGGCATTGGCTCTTCAGTCCCTTCAAGTGAGTGAAGTCAGGGTAGAGATCTTGGGACACATGTACAGAGTGGGTGATTCATGTCCATCGGGGACACATGTACAGAGTGGGTGATTCATGTCCATCGGGTCTACATAATGTCTGCTGGAATTTACCTCATGCCATCCTCTGTCTACTCATTTCCCTAGTCAGCCACATTTAGAAGAGCGAGACCCAATGGTCTCTAGGAGACTCCCTTGTACAGATAGTTAAAAAAGAAAAAAAGAAAAAAAAAGGGGGCTGGAGAGATGGCTCAGTGGTTAAGAACACTGATTGTTCTTGCAGAAGACCTGGGTTCAAATCCCAGCATCCATGTGGCAGCTAACAACTGTCCATAACTCCAGTTCCAGGGGATCCAACAACCTCTTCTGTCCTCCTCAGGCTTCGCACGTCACGGGTGCACTTACCTACACGCAGGCAATACACGCATACACATAAAATAAATATTTAAAAAAAAGAGAGACGATCCAAAATCAGGTAACTTGCTAAATGAACCAGTACCCCAGCAGTTACCTTGGGTGGTATTGGGAGCTGCTTGTATCCTTGCCCTGATGCCCTAGTCTCTTATTATTTTATTATTTATTTTATTTTTGGCAGTATTGGAGATTAGACCTAGGGTCTCATCATTTGAAGCAAGTGCCCCAGCATTGACCTCAGTCTTTGTGCTTTGGAGACAGGATCTCACTATGTACCCCTGGCTAACCTAGAACTTGCTACGTAGACCAGGCTGGCCTTGAACTCATAGATCCTCCTGTCTCTGCCTCCTGAGTGCTGAGATTAAAGTGCTGGAATTCAAGATGTGCGCCCAGCCTGACTTCAGTCTCTTGTAAGAGCTCCTCAGACAGTGTGGTAAAGATAGGTAGTGCTGTTCCTGCTCTGCCAAAACCATTATTATCAGCTATAAAACAGAAGCTCACCAGTGGTTTTTCTCTTCCTCCTATTTCTCCAACTTTGCTTCTTTTTCTCTATTTCACATTTTCTGTAGTTTGACTTGCTAGTCAAGAAGTCATCTTTTAAAAAATTACTTTTTAAAATATTTATGTGTGTGGGGGGGAGGTATGTAGACACACATATGCCATGGCATATGTGTGGAGGTCAGAGGACAACTTGCAGGAGTTGGTTTTCTCCTATCATTTGGATCCCAGTGATCAAAGCAGGTCATCAGCATCAGGCTCAGTGGCAAGCACCTTCACTCACTGAGCCAATTTGTTCCTTTTTTTTTTTTTTTTTTTGATAGGGTCTTATATAGCCAAGGCTGCCCTCAAACTCCCTGAGAATGACCTTGAACTTCCTGATCTTCATGCTGGGATTACAGATATGTATTGCCACACCCACTCAGTTTTATGTGGTGCCAGAATCAAACTCAGGCCTTCATGCCTGGTAGGCAAGCACTCTACCAACTGAGCTGCATTCCCAGCCCAAGGCTTCACCTTTTAATATTTCTTCTCATTTATGACTTTCCATGAAGATCCCTACAGTTTTGGGGGTTTTTGTTTGTTTTTGGTTTTTTGAGACACGGCTTCCCTATAGCTCAGCTGGCCTGGAACTCACTATCTAGGCCAGGCTGGCCTTGGACTCACAGAGATCTGCCTGCCTTTCCTTTTCTAAGTGCTAGGATTAATGACTTATACCAGCATGCCCAGCTTTTTTTTTCAATTAAAAAAATTTTATTTTATGTGTATGAGCGTTTTGCCTGTTTGTATGTAAGTGTACTCGTGAGCAGTGCCCACAGAAGCCAGAAGAGGGTACTGGATCTCCTGTAGTTCTAAGTGGAGTTGCTAATGGTGTAAGCCGCCATGTAGGTGCTGGGAACTGAACCTAGGTCCTCTACAAGCACAGTCAGTGCATGCTCTTAACCTCTGAGCCATCTCTCCAACTCCTCCAGTATACTTCTCAATCAAATTTTATCCTAGGAGATACCAGTGGGGTATACACAGAGATAATAGGCTGTGATTCCTGGGTTACCCAGTTGGCTGGCCCTGGACTTTGTCCCTGTGTCTGCAGACTAGTGTTGTCCGAAGAACTGACTAGCCTACTTGTGGTGCATTGGTGTGGACTGCTTCTTGACCTCTCAGCTGGTTTCCTGCTCTTCTTTGATGCCTCGAGATCCATTGGCCTCCTCTTCGTGTCCTACTTCCACTGCATGAATTCACAGCTCTTCAGCATTGGTTAGTACCTATAGCCTGGTAGGAAACAGCAACCAGGGGACTGTGGGGAGCTACTTGAGAGCTGCATTGTCTGCAGCTGGGAGATGGTGGGTGTAGGAACTAAATTGACCCCAATCTAGTCATTGGGAATAAATAAGAATGAGAGGATTGGGACCTCTGGGGACAGTATGTTGCATAGAGTCATCTCTGGGAACTACAAGTTAAGCAGTTCTTTGAGGGGCCAGGGATGTAATGTAGTTGTTAGGGTGCTTCCTTAGCATGCATGAAGTCCTGTGTTTTGATTCCCAGCACCTGATAAAACTGGGTGTGGTAATATGTACCTGTAATCCCAGAACTCAGGAGGTGTAGGGAGGATGATCAGGTTATTCTGACTATATATTGAGTCCAAGGCCAGCCTGAGTTACATGAGACTGTGTCTCAAAAAAAGAAAAACCAAACTTTAAGTGGACTGTCTTCTATTTGCTTCATAGGGAAGGCAGTTGAGGGAGCCTGACAAACTGACATATTTTCTCCCTTCTTTCCTAGGTATGTTTCCCTATGTCATGCTGGCCAGCAGCCCTCTCTTCTGTTCCCATGAATGGCCTCGGAAACTAGTATCCCGTTGCCCCAAAAGTCTGCAAGAGCTGCTGCCCCTCAAAGCTTCCCCCCGGCCCAGTGCTTCCTGTGTGTATAAGAGGAGCCAGGCCAAAGGTGGCCAGAAGCCAGGCCTTCGTCACCAACTTGGAACTGTCTTCACCCTGTTCTACCTCCTGGAGCAGCTCTTCCTGCCCTATTCCCATTTCCTCACCCAGGTTTGTAGTAGTAAATGACACATGCTACCAGGGCTGGGCTTGGAAAGTGGCAGAGATGGTGCTATTTGGGAAAGAAGGAGCTGGTTTTGTAGCTCTTTCTTGTCCTTTTGGTTTTGAGCCTGAGTCTTTAATATCTGCACCATCTCTCTAGCCCTGAAGCCCTTTTTTAAAAAAGAAATTTTATTTGTGCTGGGTGTGATGGTGCATGCCTTTAATCCCAGCACTCGGGAGACAAAGGCAGAACTCTGAGTTCAAGGCCAGCCTGGTCAATTTTATATGTATGAGTGTATTGCCTATATGTATCACCTGTGTCATGGAATGCTGGTAGAGGTCAGAAGAGGGCATCAGATTCCCCTGGAACTGGAGTTATGAATGGTTGTTAGACATGTAGGTGCTGGTAACTAAACTTGGGTCCTCTGAAAGAGCAGCAAGTGCTCTTATTTTTGTCTTATTGAGACAGGGTCTCCCTGTAACTTCAGCTGGCCTGGAATTCAATATGTAGACCAGGCTGGCCTCCATCTTTGAGATCTACCTGCCTCTGCCTCCCAAGTGCTGAGATTAAAGGCATGCACCACCATGCCTGGTGCAGCTAGTGCTCTTAACCGCTGAGCTATCTCTCCAACCCCCTGTAGCCCTTTCTTGGAGGATGAGATTGGTTTGAGCTGATCCCTCTGCTCTGCCTTTCCAGGGTTACAACAACTGGACAAATGGACTGTATGGCTATTCGTGGGACATGATGGTGCACTCTCGCTCCCACCAGCATGTCAAGATCACCTACCGTGATGGCCTTACTGGCGAGCTGGGCTACCTTAACCCTGGGGTGAGATGTCTGGTATTGGGAGTTCACTGTTCTTCAGAGCACCTTTGAGGTTTGGAGTCTGATTTGGTCCTACACACAAAAGCCAAATGGAACCTGCTTTTTTTCCCCTTTTTTGGTACTAGGGAGATTGAACCCACTGCCTGGTACATGTTAAGCACATACTCTACCATTAAGCTACATCCCCATCCCTGAGCCTTTAGTAACTTTTGTTATGTTTGTTTGTGTAGGTGTATGTATGTCACAGCACACCTGTGGAGGTCAGTAGACAACTTTGTGGAGTCAGTAGAAACCTTTATGTGCGTTCCAAATTGAACTCAGGTTGTCAGGCTTGCTGGCAGGTGCATTCACTTAGCCATCTTGCCTACCCTGATTTTCCATTTTCAGACAGGGTCTTTTTGTATAGCTCAGGCTGTCTTTGAACTTGTGGAAATTCTGTTTTAACCACCATGCCTGATGCTAAACTTTTAGATAGAAAAAAAAATTGTAATTTTTCTGAATTGAGATATTAGCAAAGGTAAGTACCATTAACTCAGTAATGAAAACTTAAGTTGTGATTTTTTTTTTTTTCTGGCCAAATTAGGCAGTAGCAGAGATCTTTGTGCATTGGCAGTGCGTGTCTTGGAAGCTAACAGTGATGAAGTGGGACTAACATGGGGGTTTGGGGCAGGTATTCACACAGAGTCGGCGCTGGAAGGATCATGCAGACATGCTGAAGCAATATGCCACTTGCCTGAGCCTCCTGCTTCCCAAGTACAATGTCACTGAGCCCCAGATCTTCTTTGATATCTGGGTCTCCATCAATGACCGCTTCCAGCAGAGGTGGGCAAGGGGAGCAGAGACAGGGACAAAGTAAAGCCCAGCTCTTTTTGCCAAGATGAATAGCTCATATTCCCCCCATGTCTTGCTTTTTTAAAAGGCTGTCCTCAGTCTAGTGCATGTCTGGGTTGATCTGGTTGTGGGCATAGCTGGTTGTGTCCAATAGGGGGCACCATCATCCAAGAGGAAAGTAACTGACTTGTTCTTTTAGACACTGTTAACACAATGCCTTCTTCTCAGGTGGCTACTAACCCCCATTCTATCTCGTGCTCCAGAATTTCTTTCCCCTTCTCTCCACCTCTCCACCATGGACTGGGAATAACATGCTGGCTGATACCGGGCATTTTTCCTTTTGGGAAATCCTATTCCCTCTCTATGGGTACAGTGATGAAAGGAACAGAACCAGAAATCTGGTGGGTGGGTGGCCGTTGCCTCCTTGGAACATGGTTTTCTTTCCCAAGGCTTTTTGACCCTCGTGTGGACATTGTGCAGGCTGTCTGGTCTCCCTTCCAGCGCACACCTTGGGTGCAGCCACTCTTGATGGATCTATCTCCCTGGAGGACCAAGTTACAGGAAATTAAGAGCAGTCTGGACAACCACACTGAGGTGGTCTTCATTGCAGATTTCCCTGGTATGGAGGAAAGTGAAGAGATTTTGCTGTCTTTCCTTGGCTTCCTTGACCAGGAATATTGCATATGATGGGGTAGGGAGGCAACTCTGGGGGTGGTGGTGGTGAAGGTATGATGTCTCTGTTCTGGTGGGATGGAGTGGCATAGGAATGGGCTATAATAGGTGGGATGGTGAACTCTGTTGCCCCTGGCAGGGCTTCATCTAGAGAATTTTGTGAGTGAAGACCTGGGCAATACTAGCATCCAACTGCTTCGGGGAGCAGTAACTGTGGAATTGGTGGCAGAACAAAAGAACCAGACTCTTCAAGAGGGAGAAAAAATGCAGGTATTTTGCTAGGCTTAGTGGCAGAGGCTGGGGACTATAGCTCAGTGGTAGGTACTTGCTTAGCATGCATGAGGCCCTGGGTTCAATCGCTAGTACCACAAAAGAAATGTTTTTAAAGTGGCATAATGTTTAGGTGAGCAAAGTTCATTTATTATAGACCAGAAATGCTTTGCCAGAGTAGTAATGTAGTAGAGGCCCTAACAGCAAGGGTTTCAGCCAGATGTGGTGGCAAGTGCTTCTAAGCTCTGCATCTGGGAGGTTAGGCAGGAAAATTGAGAATTCTAGTCCAGCCTGGGCTGCAGTGAGACCTGAACTAAAAAACAAAACACTGGGTGTTGCGGGGGTGTATCCAGGACCTCTGGGGCTGTGGAACAGTATTATTCAGATTTCAGACTTCAGATTCCAAGACATAGGAGAAAAAAGGTGCCAGGAGGGTTAAAGGAGGGAGGCCATAGTCTGGCTAGGGAAAGGTTAGGGTAAAATATCTTTCTTACCCCATCAGTTGCCTGCGGGTGAGTACCATAAAGTGTATACCATATCATCCACTCCTTCCTGCTATATGTACGTCTATGTCAACACTACAGAGGTCGCACTGGAGCAAGACCTGGCATATCTGCAGGAATTGAAGGAGAAGGTGGAGAATGGAAGTGGTAAGTTCATGAAGATTTGGACTGTGCTAGCACCTGATTGTAGGAAGTCAGGGTTATGAAGACCTAGCCATTAAAGGATCTAGCCCACTGAAACCTCTAATGATGGAAATGGACTTCTAAAGGAGAAAGTGGTCCATCTCATTCCTTTTGCTGTCTTGGCAGAAACAGGGCCTCTACCTCTAGAACTGCAGCCTCTTTTGGAAGGGGAAGTAAAAGGGGGCCCTGAGCCAATACCTCTGGTTCAGACATTTCTAAGACGGCAGCGAAAGCTTCAAGAGATTGAACGCCGGCGAAATAGCCCTTTCCACGAGCGGCTCTTCCGCTTCTTGCTACGAAAGCTGTATGTCTTCCGCCGCAGGTGAGTTTCACCTTACCTGCTGAATATCTGTCATTGCTATCAGGTGTTTGCAAGTTTGGTAGCTATTCACTGGTGAGGGTAACTAACAGTAGAGACTCCTGGAAATCTTTAACCGCTCAATCCTCCTCTCCCCGATTCTAATGTCCCTGTGGTTATTCCTACCATACCCTGGAATCTTCTGTAGAACTGTCCAAAGAGTAGGATAGCCTTGCATTTGGGATGTGGAGAGTTACAAGGCATATTGCCTGGGTAAGTGGGTCTAAGAGCAGGTGTTTCTCAGGGCTTTTTATTCTGTTCAAACGTGAATTTGGATTGGGTGCTTTTTTCATTTTTCAGCTTCCTGATGACTCGTATTTCACTTCGAAATCTGCTACTGGGCCGTCCTTCCCTAGAGCAGCTAGCCCAAGAAGTGACCTATGCAAACTTGCGACCATTTGAGCCAGATGGGGAGCTGAGTACTTCAAACACAGACTCTTCAAATTCTAATCCTCCTGAGCCAGATTCTGAACATGTCCACTCTGAGTTGTGAACGGAGTCCAGATATTCTGTGCAGAAATGGAGGCCTTCAATCACAGGCTCACTATGCACATTATTTTTAATTTTTAATTTTTGGTCTTTTTGAGACGGTCTCCCTGTAGCCCCAGCTGTCCTGGAACTCACTATGTAGACCAGGCTGGCCTTGAACTCAACAGAGATCCGCCTGCCTCTGCCTCCTGAGTGCTGGGACTAAAGGCATGTGCCACCACGCCCGGCCATTTTTTTTAAAACTTAATCTTGGTCTTGAGATAAGGTTTTCCTGAAGGCACAAGTGGCCTGGGAACTGGCTGCGTAGACCAGGCTGGCCTCTCGAGTGCTGGGATTAAAGGCATGCACTGCCACACATGGCTCATCACTAGCGATTTTGAATCAGAATAGCACTACTAAGTTAGTAAGTACCTGCTCCCTGAATACTTATTCAGTACCTTTAGTAAGTACCTGCTCCCTGAATAATGGCGTCACTCTTCTTTGACTAAGTCATGGGCTCGATTCTTACCTTTTCCTTAATCAAGTCTATCTCCTCCATATTCAGCCTATTTCCATCTCTACTACCTATTCCTTCAGCCTTCATGCTAGACTCTAGTAGGGCTAGACCAAGGGAGGGCCATTTTTTAGTTGTATAGGTTGGGCCTAAGAATGGTGAACAGAAAAATCACTCTAATTCATACACGGCATTGTATATAGGCTACTGGTGGCCATGGCACAGGTCTCTGGTCACTCTAACAGGGAAAACACTCGTTTACATTCCTCTTGTAGATCTTCTTACAGTAACACTACACTATGAAATATATATACGTTGGCACTATGTCCTTTTTAAGTTGTTCTCCTTGTTCCCCTAACCCTGTTTCCTTGATTGGCGAGGTCTTTCGAGTTGGGAAGGATGTCTTACAAACTGTGTAGTGCTGGAGATCGAAGCCAAGCCTCGTGCACGGAGGCTGCTTCCATGTTGACTCCTTCCCCAAAATGTTGAGGTGAAGAAGGCAAAGATGTATTAATTACTGGTTAGGAAGAGCTGTTCTGGACCTCAATTGAGGACTTGCCTAGCATGCAGCAAGACCTGCGTTCAATCCCCTGCACCATATGAGACACAATGGTGCACAACTGTAGTTCATCGTCTGGGAGATTGGGGGAAGAGGGGCGCCGTTCAATAAAGAGCAATGTTAATATTGGCAGAGGAAGTGGGGCCTGCAAGTACAGCTGTTGTGGAAATAGGCTGCCAAATGTCTTTCAGCCAAGAGGCGTTAGTATTAATCTTACCTCCTCAGTACAGGGTTGTTATTGTCACCTATTAAACCCTTAGAAAAAGAAGTTTCCTTTCAGTGTGCATAATTTGTAATTCACTTTCTCCAACTATCTACATCATGCTTGCCAAGCGTTTACTTACTTCACACCCTGCTTTTGTGCCTTTGTTTCAGATCTCTGGCCTGGTTAATGTTCATGCATCCAACTGTTATTTCTAAGATATATTTTACTTCCAAGGCTAGGCAGACCTTTGCCCTGAGTCACCATAGTTTTACTGATGTCTAAGCCTCAAACTTGCAGCCCTTCCCACCATTTGCTGGGATCACCAGTACCACATCCAGCTTAGCAATAGTAACCACATAGTCCAAATTGGCTTTAAACTCATAGTTCTCAGCTTCCCAAATGCTGGCATCTCAGGCCAAAACCAATACAGCAGTTGAAATTTTAATGCTGTCCTGCCATTTAAGTGGCATTCATCTACTCTCATCTACTCATGTCTTATCTTTGTTACTCAAAAAACACTCAAGACGTAGCCTGGGCTGGGCCTCCTGGAGCACTGGGATTACGAACAGGAGCCAAAATTAGGTTTTTAGAAAATTTCAGCCACTGTAAATCTATTTTTGGAGATAGTCTCTCACTATATAGCCTTGTATATAGACCAGGCTGGCCTTGAAATTGAGAGGTCTTTTAAAGTATATGTCTATGGTCTATGGATGAAACTATACTTGCCTAATATTTGCTCTACTTTCTTAAACCTGAAAAGGAGCCAGCAACATAGCTCATGCATGCATGCTCTAATGTTAACTGACAGAATGTTCCCTCAGCTCAAAATTTTCCCTCCTACGAAAATACCCCAATTCTTCCAAGATTCCAGGTAATAGATGAGTTCATAGTTCCTTAGGATCTTACCATTTATCTCTAGGTGGTATTTTAGTCAATTCTTCCTGATGAAATCTCTGATGAAGTATAGTAGGGCAAGGTGGCTTTGGCTTAGTGGAAAGCACCTGCTACCAAGCCTGGTGACTTAAATTTGACTCCCATATAGTCAAATAGATTCTTAAAAGTTCTGTGACCTCCACACATGGGACACACAAAAAATTAGTCACAACCCTCTGGGGGCTGAGGCAGAAGATTTCAAATGGAAAGCGTGTAGTGAGCTGATCAGAAGAAAAAAAGGGTGGCTATAATGTCATTTAATGGTAGTATCCCAGCCTAACACATGTAAAGCCCTAAACATCTCCAGCACTACATCCTCCAATGACAGTATAGTTCCCTCATCTACAGGTTTAGCCACCCCCCCCCACAAATATAGTGTACATCTATGATGGAACTCCAAGAGTACTGTATCTAAATCACTTCTACCTCTGGATCTTAGACATGGTTGACTACTTGACTGGCAACAGTGGCAGCTGCAATAAAAGGACAACCAAATTTTAGTACAGAAAGCAATAGTGGACAAGTCATGGACGCAGTTTGGGTAGAACCTAGCATTTTATTTAGATCTTCATTAAACTGTTGGAATTGAGAACCAGACATACGTAATAAACCTCCAAAAATAGATCCTGAAAGGCACTTTCTGCTTAGGGCAGGCAGTCATGGAATAAGCATGTAAACAAGCTGGCTTCTCTGTACCACACCAGCCAAGTCAGCTTTCTCCATGGCCAGCTGCACCAGCTCTGCCCTCCCTTCTGTTAACACCAGCCAGACCCCCTGTAGGTCTATCCCAAGGTTTTTCTGTAGGACACCTTGGCCTACCTGGGAATGCTGGAAACATGTTAAAGGAATCATGGTGTTGAAGAAAAAAAAAATTTTTTTTTAAAAGCTGCCATCTGAGGTGATGGCTTCTCTGTACTTACGCCATACCCCAGAATACAATAAATAAGCAATTAGAAAATGTTCAAGTATGAAGGGATTTCCTCCTCCCTGCCAAAAGCACTGCTCTCTGAAGGAAGCTGGTTTCTCTGTAGCTACACCAGCTGTTCAGAAAGCTCATTGGACCTGGTTTTGAAAATAAAACAAAGTTAAAACCTTGGGAGGAGCTATTGTGCAGTGTGGAGTACTGTCTTTCTTATAAAGAAAAAAAAAATTACCTGGTACCAAAGTGTGCAACCTACAGACCCTCAGGTACTGCCCTGTGACTTCTCTGTATGACATCACAAGGCTGCCAAGTGCCTGTTTTTCTAGACTAGAAGTTGGTGAGGTTTGGCTAGTGCTGAAACCATGCATAGGATTGTTTTACTAAATAAAACCTTATTACGTACGTCCTCCAAAAGACAGCTGAAAAGTGGAGAGATTATTATTATTTTTTTTTGATTTGGTGCTGTTTAAGAGGTGTCGATTAAGAGCATAAGCACCAGGGGAGATGGTTTAATAGTAACTGCCTTTTTTTTTTTTTTTTTAAAGTCAGGCTAGAGCTCCAACTGGAACTTGCGTTACATGCAAGACTGACTGAATAGGGAACACTCCCTGACAAAGAGCTACATTATTAGAAGTGATCGTGTAAGAGGGAGGATAAGGGAAGGACTTCACATTCATAATAGAGCTCAAGACATTACAAATTCATGCTGACAGGGCTGTGGCATTGCCAGAATCTATAGTTATATACTACAAGTAAGTACGTGCACATTACAAGGACATTTTCAGCATCTGGTGGGAAAGTAAATGCAGTTAGGACTTCAGGAGGCTGGCTGATAGGGCACAAAGGTTTGATTTCAAAGCATTATTCACTACAGTGTTGTTTCTAGGCAGTTACATGGATTACCTATGCTCACTAAATCCATTATAATGGTGAACAAAACACCTAGGGACAGAATAGCAAGCCCAACTTACAGTCCCCCACAAAAGCTAAAATTCATGTCATTGATTAGAGTGACTGCAACTGATCAGGAGCTGAAAGAGGACAGAAAAATTTAGGAAGAAGGGCCCTTTCCCTCAGAGCTTGAAGGCTTCTCTGTAGCCTACGCCAACAAGTCTGGGGAAAAAAGGCTAACACTTTCAGTATTTAAGCTTTTTGGGCACTTCCCATGGGAAGCTGTCCCTACCAAAGTGGCCATAGGCTGCAGTCCTCTGATAAATGGGCTTCTTCAGATCCAGATCCCTGGAATATACAAGTCCATAACTTAATATGTAGCATTAAATTAAAACAAAGCAAAACAATCAGCAAGACTCATTTCAAGAGCTCTGGCAAATGAGTTCAGTTCTCTGGGGTATGCTAGGAAAAAAGTTCATGGCATAAGTGTTAACTTCCCTGGTGTCCAAACTCCTTGTACAGTTCTTATTAGTAACTACAGTTCTTGTTTTCCAGCCTTGGGCTCAACAAATATGAAAACTTGTCATCATTCTGAGGAATTCCAATTGAATACTTACCAAGGTCCCATCATTGCCCACTATGGTTATCCTGTAACAACCTTGAACATCTCACTTTATCTTATCAATTCTTAATGTAGCACCCTTAGTTAAGATAAGCACAAAGCTTAGTATCAAATATGGGAAACTTTCTAGGGTGATTGATCTAAGTCAAGGAGCACCTGTAATTTTGTCAACCCCTTCCATCCATTCCCCCAGCATTTTAAAACATTAGCATGTTCTAGGAATTAAAATTGGTTCTCCCATGAGGAGTCTACCTTCACCTCCTCAGATTTTATACCCATACCCCCTATTTCTCACTAGCAATAGGCTTTACCATCTTTACCTGACAATGACCCCAGGGCGAAGATCAAAATTCTTCTTCACAATCTCTAATAGCTCTCTCTCACTCTTCTGAGAAGTACCATAATGGAAAATGGAGATAGACAATGGATGAGAAACTCCAATAGCATAAGAAACCTGTAAGGATCCAAATGTCATAGAAGTTAGTAATTGAGAACTTACTTGTACAATAGCACTGGTATAAAATCGGCAAGTAAGTAAATATATCACTAAGTATATACCCTTCTGTTGTGGGGTGCTCATCCTCAACTGATCCATCTACACGTAATCTCTACACCTAAGGCCCTTCAGGACCAGGGCACCTGCTGCTGGACAGTATCTTCCAGACATGAGAGGGAAGCTATACCCATAAAATCTCAACAATATGGCTGATATGCCAACCTGGATGGGGGATTATTATTTTTCAGGGTCACACCCTTAGATGAAGGTAATTAATGGCTGAGTGGAAGAATCGATTTTTTTCTGGGGATGAGCTCTCTGATAGGTTGTCCAATCCAAGTGGTCAGCCCTAAACATACATACTAGCACCACTAAACAGACTCTGCAGGAATACCTACTAGTAATTAAAAAGGTCAGGATATTGAGAATTGGGGGGGGGGTGGTGGTGAAATGATACAAATACAGCATTCATATATATTTTAAACACCCTCCCGTTTACATGACCTTTAATTATTTGTTGCATACCTGAACAAGAACCCTCCTGCACAGACCTCCTTTAACAAGGGATTTTGCTACCCAACGAGCAGCATAGGCAGCTGACCGGTCCACTTTGGTATAATCCTTTCCTGAAAAGGCTCCTCCTCCATGAGCTCCCCAACCACCATAGGTGTCCACTATGATTTTTCGGCCAGTCAAACCAGCATCACCCTGAAATCAAGATAATTTAAAAATCACATAATCCTTTCCAGTAAGCGGTTCTCCATTAGGCTATTTGGTACCACTCAAGAATCACATGGGTAGCAGGTGGTAGGTCACAACCAGCACTTGGGAGGCTGAGGCACAGGATCAGAAATTCAAGGCCAGCCTCACACATCAACTACACAGTCATAGTGAGTCCAAGGGTAGACTGGGTACTGAGATGTGGTGTGCAAACAAACCACACAAAAAAAACCCCTTCATTCAGAAAGCCTGGAAAAAAAAAGGATGACAACGGTAAATTAAAAAAAAACCTCACATTAAACTGAATTACCTGAGGTCCACCAATAACAAATCTGCCACTTGGCTGCAGGTGGTAGATTGTGTCTTCATCAAGGTACTTTGCAGGTACAACGGCTTTGATCACTTTTTCTTTTAGGGCATCCCTCATCTCATCAAGGCAAACTTCTTCATCATGTTGAACAGATATAACAATTGTGTGG